AACACATGTCTCTCCGCAGCTAATACCCCATTATGCTCTCCCTCCTCAACGTCGGAAACCTCACGTGCCCAACACCTCAAATGCCTCAAATAGCGCTGGCGCTAGCAGAGCCCCAACCAACCCTGCACATTGCAAAACTCATGTACTGCCAAATTCACCAATTCAAGTGGGCTGCAGCTTGAGGAACTGTGTCAACCTTCCTCACAAAACAGGCCCTCAGCCAGAGCACTTGCGCCCCAAGTTTTGACATTCTGGCGACGCACGCCCTGGAATGTATCGGTGCCTCTCAGGCAGCTCTCTCTACCCCAATGGCAGCCAGCCAGCGTCACGAACGATGAGCATGCGCTACCCATAAACAGCGTGCCGCACATGCCGGGCGAAAATCGCCAAACCCAAACACCAACCTACCTTGCTCCAGCATTACCTGCCATTCTTGGTGTATGCAAAGGCATCCACTCCAACAAATATCGGCTAGTCAAATCATCCTAACCCCCTCGCAACATACCACTTCGGCTCCTTCCTAAACAAATCCCCTACACTAAAACCCACCTTTTCTTGCCACACACTTTACACTATATTTCCCTCACCTAGCTTCCCCCCACTCGCCAGTCAATGCACAAAGATACAGCTGCCAAATCCACTGCAGCGTTTAACACGCAGCTCCGCCTGCTCTTGTTTTTACGCACCTCCTGTGTGCCAATATATACTCAACGCTACGCAGCCTAGCATGAACCAGCGAGCACTACGCACCCTCCATTACGCACATGCACATAAACGCATCGCTTGCTCAAACGTATCAGTAGAAACATGCTCACCCACAAATTGGCACACCGCTCGACCTACACAACCCCTGCATAAGCATCTACTATATTCCTTGCATAGTCCTCCGTCGCCTTCCTTCATGCGTGGGTCAGAAGCCTATATAACATCGGCGCGTCGGCGATACTCCTAGAAATGAGTGTGTTCAAAGCCCTGCGCAAAACGGTATTGCCATTCTGGATTTACCACCAACCCATCATTTCGCACTTGTCCACCATTAGCTCCCTGTCACTCCTCATGATGGTGGCGCGCACGTCGACGTACACAAGCACCGCCTCACCGCTATAAACCAGCTGTCAAAAACACAGCAAGCAACGTAGCACAACACTCAACGCCCTGCACATCTTCCTGGGACTCACCATCGTCGGCATCCAATGCCTTGAAACACTCTTATTGGCAACCAGTGCCATGGGCGCCGCTCTGCACACTCGAGGTGAAGCTCAGAAATCCTAACGCTGCCCGACTACCAAATGCCCCTCCTCTCACTTCCAGGGACGGGAAAGCCTTAATCTGTCACACGCGCTTCCAAGTGTTCTATAGGAGGGTAGTGTTTCCTCTTCCCCTGGGCATCCGCGCAAGACCAAAAAACAGCCTAGACTCTGCAGAGCCTCACCAGCATTCTCCAGAGACAACAGTTCCTCCCGCTATCTTTGCGGCACGTCAACACGCAACGCACGAGCTATGTCGCCTTCCAAACACTGCTGAACAGGCAGCTGCATTCCAAGTTCCACTCGGCGCGCGCGCCTCACACCCCTGCAAGCTCCCAACCTAACCCTGGAATTGAAATCTTCAGCAGTTTCCGCAGCCAACACACCAAGCGTACCCGTACACAGATGCGACTTGTTGCTACTGAGGCACTCAAAAAGGCAAATGCATGCACATTTGAGTAACTGCCATGATGTAAATGGCGTGGCCTACACAGCACCTCTCGCACTCTGCTTTATTCACGAATGCGCCGATGTTATGTAGCATGGTTGCGCAGGGCCTCCACAACCAACTTCAGAAGCCATGCTTGTTATCGTTCCCGGTGAGCTCGCCTCCTGCTACAATGATGCTCTGCCCAGAGGTCTAGTGCGAAGACCTACCTCCTGTTTAACAAGACAGCATGCATCACGTAGCACACGAAAACTCGCCTCTGGCTCAAATGCTTTCCTAGCACCGAAGCAGATATTTCCCCCACACAACCTGCACGGCTGTTGCTTTTGCGCACGGCTCTCTTCCAAACAGTGCAACTCCAGCCGCTCGTCTACGACAGACTACTTTAGCAAGTGTGGGCACCAGCTGCCTTCCGCTGACGCGCACGAGTGCTCCTACATGCGTGCAACCGTCCCTTGCCCCCTCGTGGCACATCCAGACACCAGCAACGCAGTCGCTGCACCACTTTCTACACGAGCTTCAATTCGAGGTTCGCCCACGTCCAGTGCCTGATTCCAAAGTACAAAAGCGAACCAAAAGTGTCCGTAATCTAGCGCCGCATCAACGGTGGCCGCTGAATTGCTAGGCGTTCAATACACCACCGGTACACGCAGCCGATAGCCTTGCTGTCAACCTACTGCCGCATCGGCTATAACACGCCGAGCGTGCAGCTTCACATTCTCATGTAGCGCTCAAGCTTCACGATAGCACAACGCCATGGCTATGCCATTCTACAAAAAAACGCACGCCTTTCCGCAGCAAGTGCTCCATTATGCTCTGCCTTATCCACGTAGGAAATGTCACGT